CCTTCACGCGCCTGCCCCCAGCGGCTGAAGTGAGGAAGGCCGCGACGCGTGGCAGTCCACGCCAGCTGGTGGAGCGGGAATTGGACGAGTGGAAGGAGGTGTGGACGTACCACGATGTCAAGGCGCTGGAGAAACCACCCGACTTCGAGGAGTGGGCGGAGTTGCCGAGGATGAGTATCCGACATCTGCGGCAAGCAGCGGGGAAGTTCAAGGAAAGGGTGGCCGTCGGCCAGACGGGTATCACGCCGCGAGCGTTATCGCCCCTCAGTGACAGTGGCCAGCACGTGCTGTCGGCGCTGTTCAGCCAGTGTGATAAGATGGGCGGGCGGCCGACCAGCAGGCTATTCACGGTGCTGGTCCGACTGCCCGAAGAAAGTGGAGGGTGCAGGCTCATCGCGCTAGTGAATTCGGTGCTGCGGCTGTGGGCCAAGGCGAGGTCGACGATTTCGATGTGCTGGATGGCCCAGGCGGGCGTGCCCAAGCTGTGGGGCACGGGGGGGGGGGGGGGGAGGACCACCTCGGCGGCGGCGTTTCACCGCAACCTGATGGCGGAGGCCACCGACCTCAATGGGGGCCACAGCGTGACGGTGCTGCTGGATGCGTGGAAGGCGTTCGACAGCTTGATCGCCACACGAGTTCTGGGATAAGCCAGAAGTGTGGGGTATCCTCTTCGCCTCATGTGGGCGATCCTGAAGTGCCACCACTTGCCGAGGAGGCTCAAGGCGTTTGGTTCGCTGTCGACGGGCTACACGGCGCACCAGGGCATCTTGGCGGGCTGCTCCAAATCGATGGCGGTGCTGGTGGTTGCCACGGCAAGGTCGGTCAAGAGGCTCGCTTGTTTTGACGTCGTCCCCAGGGCGCTGGCGGACGACACCTCGGTCCAGTGGGCGGGCCAGGACCTGCGTGGCGCGCGGGTGCTCTGGGAGGCGGTGCTCAGGTACAAGTACGAGGTGGCCGAGGTTGGGCTGGAACTGCAGGTGGGCAAGTCGGGGCACGTGGCGTCTTCGAGGCGGGGCCAGAAGGCGGCGAAGCCATTCGCCTCGAGGGTCAAGATCTGCCCCAAGCAGCACATGAGGAACCTCGGTCACGACCTCAATGGCACGGGGGCGAGAAGGGCAGTGGCTAAGAGCAGGCTCAAGAAGTTGAGGCCAAGGATGAGAAGGGCGAGGATCTTGAGGAGAGCGGCTGGCGCCAAGGCGACCTGCTTGTGGCAGACGGGCCTGCTGCTCTCCACGGCGCATGGAGCGGCAGTGGGAGGTGTTTCGCCGAGTGAGCTGGGTGCGATGCGCTCGGAGGCGGCGAGACTGGCGGGGGCAAAAGGGCGGGGGTGCAGCATCACCCTCTACCTAGCGAGCCAGCGGAACCCGTACTACGACCCGGTCTTCGCGGCCACGGTCGAGCCGATCATGCAGTGCGCCAGGGTAATCTGGCACCAGGAGATCAGCTTGGGCGCGCTGGAGCGGGCTTGGAGGGCCACGCTGGACAAGGTGGAGGCCGGCGACGACAAGCTCATGTGGGCGGCGGCCAGGGGTCCGCTGAAGGTTGTCATCCTGTCGTTCAAGCGGATAGGCTGGGTGATGTGCTCGTCGCTGATGGTCAAACCTGAGGAGGGACCAGTGATTTCGCTGCTGGCAACCCCACCGGTTTGTTTCGAGACCTCCTGAGACAAGGGAGACAGAGATGGCAGCTGCGGCAGATCGCGGCACATCATGACGCCACGAATTGTCTGTGCATTGCGCGAAGAGAGGCGGGGCGCTGTGCTTGCCCCAGGACGCCGCCGCTGTGGCCGAGAGGCCTGCGCGCCTGTGTGGGGGGGCGGGGAGCGGCGGTGACTGGGGCGGGGAGGACGGGTGCGCTTCGCAGTCTCTGGGCAGACTCCCTGTGGCCACGGGCCAAGCTCTATAAGAAGGGGCCCTGCGAGCACCAGGGAAGCAGAGCATGCCCGCATGGGATGGAGCCCCTCGGGCATGCATTCGTCGAGTGCCCAGAGCTGACCCAGCGGTTGCTAGGCGATGAGGAGGAGTGTGGCCTCGGACCCGAGTTGGCTGCAGCCAGGGGCGCGATGCTCGAGCAAGGGCCTGTGGGGGAGGGGCGCCAGGACACGGACTCCTTCGCGGTTGGCGTGGGGATCCCACGGTGGCCGCGAGTTGAGGCGCCCCCCCCCCCCCCCCCCCCTGAGGACCCTCTTTTTTTTCGCTGGGGTGACTGATCGTCGCCGAGTGATAGTTGGAGCGAGAATGTGTTCACGGACGACTCGGGATGCCACGGCGGCGTTCCCGAGCTGCGTCGATGCGGGTTGGCGGCCGTCATGACGGACGCCAATGGAGTTCCTGTGAGAGCGGCGTACGGAGGGCTTGCAGGCGGCCAGCAGACGGCTGGCAAGGCCGAGAGAGCCGCGGGTCTCAAGGCCATCCAGCACATGCCGTCAGCACGGCTGGTTATAGGCGATCTGCTCGAGTTTGTGAATGAAGGGCAGCAGTGGAAGGCGGGTGAGGAGGCTAGCTTGACGGCTGCGAGCGCTGCGTACCCGAGCGTTTGGCGGCAGCTCTGCAGCCTCCAGCGTGAGCCTCCCAGATTCGCCTGGGTGCCGTCGCACCTGGGCGATGAGGATGTTGTTTCCCGCTCCTGGTAGTCCGTCCCCGCCCCCCTTCCTTTGGGTGGTCGGGAACAGGTGGGCGGATTTGTTCGCCAAGCTTGGAGCCAGGTCAATCAAGCTGCCTGATGGGCACTGTAGGTTTTACAAGGACTGCCTCCCGAGTGCCAAGGAGTACGCTCGATGCCTCGCCTGGGCGGTCCAGCGGGGCTGCAGGCTTAGCTGTGGTCCGAAAAGGGCGTGGCCGAAGGCACCGAAGGCCAGCCAAGGGCCAATGACCCGACCCAACTTAAGATCACTCTCGCGCTGCATGAGCACGATCTGGTTGAGCTTGGGGGTGGGTTATTCTGCAGGGGGTGCCGACGTTCGGCCAAGACCGCCGAGGCCCGCCGACAGCTGGCGGGAGGCACTGGCAAGAGATGTGCCCCCTCCGCCGTGGCGTTCCTGCAAGCTAAGATCCAGGAGGCTCGCGCCAACGCCGACTTGTCTGGGGTGCCTGGGGGGTCCTCTTGGGGCGGGGCCCCGTGGGGCTCGGGGTCTGGTTGCGGGGGCGGGGGTGATCGTCTGGGGGTTGGGTGGGCGGGCCTCGAGGGGCAGAGCGTCCTCGCGCCTGGAGGACACGACGCCACCGTCACGGGCACGGTGGTGTGGCGTCGGCGGTGCGGGGCCTACGGGTCTGACAGGGTGGGCAGGGCGTTCGCGGCCCCATGCCCTGACCCGCAGGAGTTGCCCACGAGTCGCAAGCGTGCTCTCCGTGTGTTGGCGCGGGGACAGCTCCCCAAGAGAGGCAAGACTCTCGAAGACAAAGAGGTCCTGGCCGCCCTCGCGGGTGGAAGGGCTCCCGACGAGGAGGCGGAGGAGCCCGACAAGGCTGGGGGCCTGTCTGACAGTGATGGGAGGGGCGGGGACGTCGTCGTCGAGGCGTCGGGGCGGGGCAAAGGGATCCTGACGCGATGAGCAGATCCGCCGTGTGGCGGGCGAGCAGGCTAGTTGACGCGCGCGCTGCGAAGTCGGAAGTGGCTCACCTGGTGGCTGACAGCCCTTATTCTGGATTCAAACCGTCGGGCTGCCGCGGCCTGACGGGGGAGGGGGGAGCGACGGACAGCCCCTGCGTCTCCCAGGGGGGGCCGTTGGCTGACACTCAGCCTCCTTCGGGACCGACAGGCCCAGCGTTGGCTGACGGCCCCCAGCGCTCGGTGCAAAACAGTTCTCGGTTTCGGAGGGCTGCGGTCAGGGGTGGAGCTCCCGACGCGCCTCAGACGCCAGCGGCTGCAGGCGAGACCGCTGCTGGCCACTCCCAGTCGAGAGCGCGGAGGGCGGCAGTCAGGAGTACTGCTGCTGCTGCGAGCAGGCTTGCGGTGCAGTGGGCGAGCTCGCTAGGTGACATCCGTGCTGCAAGAACGGAGGTGGCGCCAAGGGCCGCTGAGTTCCCTTGTGCTGGAGTCAAACCGTCGGGTTGTAGCGACCTGGCGGGGGTGGGGGGAGCGACAGCCAGCTCCCGCGCCTCCCAGGGGGGGCCGTTGGCGGATGCCCGGCCTCCTGAGGGACCGACGGGCCCAGTGTTGGCTGACGGCCCCCAGGCTCAGGTGCATGTCCTGACTAGGATGCGGAGGGCTACGGACAGGAGAGGCGCTCCCGACGAGCCGCCGTCGCCTGTCGCTGCTGGCACGCCCGTCGCGCGCCCCTCCCAGGCGTCGGGAGCGGAGCTCCTGGCGCGCCTCCACGGCTCGATGCTGAGGAGGTGAGGCCGTCGCCTGCCGCGGCAGGCACGCCCGTCGCTGGCCCCTCCCAGGCTAGGGCGTGGAGGGCTGCAGACGGGAGCGGAGCTCCTGGCGCGCCTCCACGGCTCGATGCTGAGGAGGCGAGGCCGTGTGGAGGTGGCGGGGGTGGGGTCGTGAGGTCGTCGTCGGGCGGGGGTGGGGGAGGTGCCTCGGCGCTGTCGCCAGAGTCCGACGAGGAGCGGCGGGCCCGCATTGTTCAGAGGTTGCTGCGGGCGGCGCGGGGAGAGACGCCCGTGGCGGAATTGGGCCAGGCCCAAGCGCCAGGCCTGCATGGCGGAGGGGCCCCGCGAGGGCCGAGGGCTGCACCCCAAGAGAGGGCGAGGGCCCCAGGGGCTCAGGCCGACTGCTAAGCTAGTGGTTGGCCCGAGTTCCCTCTTTCCTCAGCGCAGCAGGGGTCCGTGCTTGGACTCTTGCTCGACGTCATTCCCATTCCCTCGACCCTCGATCCTCGATCCTCGATCCTCGATCCTCGATCCTCGACCCTCCTCGATCCTCGATCCTCGATCCTCGATCCTCGATCCTCGATCCTCGATCCTCGACCCTCGACCCTCCTCCTCTCCTCGACCCTCGATCCTCGAAGGGGCGAAGTCCAAGGCCTGCGCCGTTGCTCGCTCGCCCTCTGGGAGGTGCCTCCGCGGGCGCTGCGGCTGCTGCCTGCAGCACCTGGCTGCGGGCCTCATGTGCTGCTGCGGCTGCGTCGTGGCCCGGGTGCTCTCCGGGGACCGCCACGCCAGGACCCAGGGCTGGACCTAAACGCCGTTTTGCTGGACTTCGGCTGTGTTTTGCTTTTCGTTTTGGTAGGGCGGTGCAGGGAAACAGGTAGAACGACACAACAAAACGAGACCAAAACGAGAAACAACGTTCAGGCCCAGCCCTGCCAGGACCTTCGAGCCAGACGTGCGCGAGCCCGAGAAGTTCACGGAGCACAGCCAGAGGACCCTGGCGCAGTTCCGGTGGGACGTGAGGCGTTCGGTCAACTCGTACTTGCGCGTCCTGAGGCTCGAAGAACAGCAATACATGAGCATACATCTACGGGAACGAACACTGACATAAACAAAAAAAAATCTGAGCTCCGCGCGGATTTCTCGAATCCGCGCTGGACCCCCCTGGCGGCATAAGCATTAATTCGTTGAGCTCCGCGCGGAGTTTTTGGATCCGCGTTGGGACCCCCTGGCGGCGCCCCCGGCGCCGCCCCTGGCGCGCTGCGCGCGCCAAGGAGGGGTGCCCAGCCCAGATCCAAGAAATCCGCGCGGACCTCCAAAAAGTTTACGCTTATGCAATTTGTTCTTCCTCCGCTCCAGAGGCTCATGCCGCTCTGGGAGGGCGACTCCGAGGAGCTGTACGCGTGGCTGGCCGGGATCTCAGAGCAGGAACAGGTACTCATACCTCTACCCTTCGGCCGTTTTCTTTTTTGGGGGGCCGCCTGGCTCGTCGCCACCGCTGGATTCGCTTCGAAATTCTGGTCAGAGCGCACCCTGGGGGAGGTCGGGGGGTAGCAGTATCGGTACCATTTGGTTTCCTTAGGAGCGGGGTGCCCGTGATGTTCCTCTGGGGCGACGACGACCAGACGGTCCCCTGGTCCGACGCGGAGGCGCGCTGGGGTGAGTGGGGCGAGGGGGCCCCTCCTCACGGATCCGCCTCCTCGGAGGTCCCGAGGGTTTCAGAATTGCCGAACATTTTCGGGGCCCGTTCCCTTCAGGGTCCTCGTGCTTCATGGCGACTTGTATATTAGTGGGTTGAGGGAAGAACAAATGGCATAAAAATGAACTTTCGAAGGCGCGCGCAGATTTCTTGGATCTGCACTCAACCCCCCTTGCGGCGCCTCCGGCGCCGTCACCTGTGCGCCCCGCGCCCGCCAGGGAGCACCCCTTCACTATGCCCGGAGGGCTCCAGGTGGTCAAACGGTGCGAAAAGTTGGGGGCGGTTTGGGCAAACTCCGATCTCCCCGTGTCGAATCCTGTATCGTCCTTTCTCCCACCTCCCGCCTCCTTCCTGTCTTCTGCACCTCCATCCCCCGCTCTCTCTCTCTCTCTCTCTCTCCACCTCTGCTTCTGTCCCTCCCGCCCAGCCCCGGGCGTCGTGAGTTTTTGTTTACAAGGTTCAGGAGGAAACACACACCGACACAATTGATCGTCGACTCCCAGGAAAATATGGGAAGTGGGGGGAAGACGAAAACGGAGGAAAAATGGGGAACTATTGGGAATCTTGGGATTTGAGCCTGTATTTTTGTGTCCTGGGCTCTGTGTAAAGGTGGACGCCCCCGAGTTCCAGGCCCTTTTCCCAGAACCGGTTTCTAATCCCGAGTCGTTTCTTGACGGCCTTTGCGAGGCCGAATGCGGGCAGGAGCGCTCCGTCGTGTCGTGATCTTGCTCGCAATGGAAGGAGGGCCGGGCACGTCCCCCTTCCACATCAAAGCAGGTCACACGGGACGCCTGAGGATCGCTCCTCTTCTTTTTGGTCTTCTTCCTCCATTTTTTTCCTTATGAATCACTCGTCCCTGTCGCACCCCGAGGCCAGATTTTAGGGCGGGCCGGGTGTTTCGCCTGAGATTCCCTCACCATTTATGACCTTGAACGTTGGCATCCGTTTCGCAGATGGCGGGCGGGTCGTTTTCAAATTGTGGCTCTCGCCTTAGCGCCGTGCACATTCGCCTCCAAATTTGCAAGAGTTTCACAGATTGAGGGCGACCCGTTTTCAAAATGTGGTTCTCGCCTCAGCACCACGTACATTAGTTGTCAAATTTGCGAGAGCTTCACGGATTGAGGACGGTTTCTTTCAATGTGTGGTTCTCGCCTTAGCGCCGCGCACATGGTATAACATTTTCCTAAGAGTTACACGGGTTCCCATGATCAGCGTACCAGAAATGTTTTTTCGAAGGATGTTCGATTATGAGGGTGCAACAGTTACGTCGATTCGCGTTGTCAAAGTCCCAGGAAAGGCGTTCCGGCACGATTCAGGATCGTCAAGACGCAACAGTCAGGTTGATTTGTGGCGTTGGAATCCCGAGAACAATGCTTTGGAATGCTTCATTGTCTTCAAACGTTCGCCTTCCAGCGAGGCAGTTCCCTCAGTGGAATGAACCGTCGCATGAGGCCTGTGAAGAGGGAGCTTGGGGGAGGGCTCATTGCAACGCCGTTGATAAATGTTGCGTTTGCACTAGTCCTCCTCCTCGTCCTCCTCCTCCTCCTCCTCCTCCTCCTCCTCCTCCCCTCCTCCTCCTCCTCCTCCTCCTCCTCCTCCTCCTCCTCCTCTCCCTCTCTCTTTCTTCCTTCTCCTCCTCCTCCTCATCCTCTCCCGTTCCTCCTCCTCCACCTCCTCCTCTCCCTCCCTATTTCCTCCTGGCCGAATAAGGCCGAAGCTGGCCGAGCGCGGGCTGGCCGTCGGCCGTGCACTCAGGGTGGGGGGGGGGGGCCGCGGGCCGGGGCGGGGCGGCAGGCCGCTCAAGGATTCGGCGCGGGGCGCCACGCCCGCGGCTGGCCTGACAGCGTAAGGCCAGCCAGGCGCAGAGAGGAGGAGGAAGAGGAGGAGGAGGAGGAGGAGGAGGAGGAGGAGGAGGAGGGGGAGGAGGGGGAGGAGGAGGAGGAGGAGGAGGAGGAGGAGGAGGGAGGAGGAGGAGGAGGGAGGAGGAGGAGGAGGAGGAGGCTTCCCGGCGTGGAGGGGGCCAGGGCCGGTTGTGTGGGCGCCTCTGCCAGGAGGCCGTCGGGCGCCTTTTCGGCCCCGGCGGCGCCACGTCCTGCGTCCTGCTGCACGGCGCCGGGCACGGCATGGTGCACGAGGACGCCGCCCCCGTTCGGCACGGGGAGGAGGAGGACGACGAGGAAAGAAGGAGAGGAGGAGGAGAGGAGGAGGAGGAGGAGGAGGAGGAGGAGGAAAGGAGGATGAGGAGGAGGAGGAGGAGGAGGAAATGAGGAGGAGGAGGAAAGGAGGAGGAGGAGGAGGAAGCGGAGGCCGATGATCCGATTTCGTGGGAGGCACCTTTGCGTAACCATGCAACGTCGGAGTGCCGCGCGCATTTGTTGCATCGGGCCTGGGCCCCTTGGGGGCGAGGGGGGCCCTCCCCTCCGGGCTCATCGCGCCATTAGTTTCGACTGTTGTTGTCACTGATCCTGCCGACGCTCTTGTTTCTGCTCTTAAGCCTGCAGGACGCATTCGAAGTGGCCAAGCACGCCGCTGCCTGGCTCGGGGACTCGCAGGATCTGAGGGGCAGGGGGAGGATGCGAAGTAGGATGTGTTGAGTCAAACCACAGTATCGAAGACGCCTGCAGCGAATCTCCGCCGCCCCCTGCCTTTTGAAAGGCGCCTCTGCGGCCAAACGTTTGGTATAGTTTGGCCACGCTATTGGACGATCCGTTCCCCCAGCGGTTGTGGAAGCCCTTCGGGGAACACGGGGTGGGGGAAGACGAGGAGACGGAGGAACAATGAGGGCAAGGAAAAGGATGCGGAGACCTTTTTGGTCTTTTGGGGTCATGATGCGGGTCTCTTGGGGGCCCCCTTGGGGCATCTTGGGGGCCTCCTTGGGCCTCTTGAAGGCCTTTGGGGGTTTTCTTCGGGGCCTCTTTGGCGGTTTGACGGCCTTCCTGGCCCGTCCGTCGGAAGCCGTTTTGGTATTTTTTGTGCCACCTTAGGGCCATCTTGGAGCGCTTCGAGGTGTTCCTGAATGCCATCTGGGCGTCTTGGAGGCCTCTTGGGCCGTCTTGGTGCCCTTTGGGCACAGTCTTGGAGCCTCTTGTGCTGTCTTGGGGCCATCTTGGGGTAATCTTGGGGGCCTCTTGGGCCGTCTTGGGCCGTCGGAAGGCTTACAATATGCAGATGCTACAATATTTCAACAACCTAGGGGAAGTCAATGAGTTTGGCCTCTTCCAGGTCTTCCTGAGGGCCTCTTGAACGCCTCTTGGGCAGTCTCGAAGGCCTCTTGAGGGCCATCTTGGACCCTCTTGGGCTGTATTGGAGGCGATCTCGGATCGTCTTGGGCGAACTGTGGGGCCCTGTTGAGGCGGTATTGGTGGCTCATTGGGCCGCCATGATCGCCTCTCGGAGGCCACTTTGGCCGTCTTGGAGGCCTCCCGGAGGCCTCGTCCATCTTGAGCCGTCTGGTTGGCTTCTTGGGCGGACTTGGAGGCATCTGGGACCCTCTCGGCCCGGCTTGGAGGCAATATTGGACCATGTTGTGCGAACCTGGAGGCCATCTCAGGCCATCATGGTCGTCTTGGAGGCCATCGAGGCCGTCTTGAAGACGTTGGTTGCGCAGCGGCGGGGCCTTCGGTTGGCCAGTGGCGTGGAGCGAAACCCCAGAGGGGTTCCTTTTGGACAAGAACCAAAACCAAGCCGTAGGATCTAGCACGCCAGTCACCCCAGTCAGAAGTCAGCAAGAGGCGGCGGATCGAAGATGCCTACGGCGAAACACCGCCGCCGCCTGCCATTTTGAATCACCCATGTGGTTCAGCATGGTGACAAGAGCTCTGCCGAGCTATCGGACCACGTGTTCTCCCAGCCGTTGTGGAGACCCTTCGGGGAATATTTGGGGAAGGATGGCGGGGGAAACCAGCAGGAGGAGGAGGAAGAGGAGGAGGAGGCCCAGTGCACACCCAAGTTGGAATACACTGCCCCTCTGTTGTGAGGCAGTTGTTTAGGAGGGGGTACAGAGGCCTGGTGTTTACACAGTTGAGAGGGATTCGTGAATTCAGTAAGCGTCGGGATTGAATCACCTCCAAGAACGCGCGCCCACACGAATCAGAATCGTTCGGTTTAGCTGCGGGCCGCTGACATTTTGATTTCCGTCGTCGTCCTCCTCATTGCTCCCGTCTCCTTCTTCAGTCGGCGATGGAGCTCAAGCACACTGAGCCCGACAGAGGGAAGATGTTCACTCACCCCTCACAAGAGTTACGGACTCTGACTGCCACGCAGATTGTTTTGCCAGGGTCAGGAGAGGAGAAGGAGAAACAACAAAGCATAACAATATCTGCAGCCCTTCCGAGTCCGCACGTCCTTGCGGTCGTGATCCTGTGATGGACATTTTCTTGCGCCGCACCTTTTCCAATTTTCGATGGAAGATATGGAGTGCGACTTTGAGAAAAACAACGAGCCAAAGACACTGATAACGGATCCGCCGCAACCATGACCAGAAATGCCAGCTTGCCAAGAGTACAATATGTGAACAGTGGGTTGCACACGCTCTGGGACCCTCTGGTTGTGGGACAAATTCGGCAGAAAGAGGGAGCGCAGGAGCCGCCGCCACAGGGTGCGCAGATGGGTGTCGACATCAAGGTGGACAACGGCAACGGCGAGAGGGCCGGGCAGACGGCGCCGGGAGAGTTTGCAGAGCTTGCTCGGTTCCACCTTCCCCCTGCGTCCCGCGGGGCCCAGGGGGAGGAGTTGCCAGCGGAGTTTGCAGAGCCGCTTCGGCTCCCCTGAACGCCTGCGCCCTTTCGGGCCCAGGATATGCCAATCCCGTCGTTGCACGCAGTTGTTCCAGGAGATACAAGAACAACTGCGCACATGGAGTTCGATTAGCCCAGTTTCGCATTCGTTTGCGCGCCGGCGAGCACATGTGGACGACAAAATCTCGAGGGGAGTTGGAGGCGCCGAGGTTCAGAGGCAGCGAGTGGGTGCCGATGAAGAACTTCGAACACCCATGCCCGAACCAAAGTACGCGGGAATCTTGCCCCGGGAGATCGAAGCACAACCAAACTAATGGACCCGATCGGCCCTGCTTTGCATTCGCTTGTTCGCTGGAGGATGAAGTTGGATCGAATTCGAAAACACGTGGGCTCCCGCGGTGAGACGGACGAGATAGAGGTCTGGACAGATGGAGGCCAACCCAAGTAGTTTCACAGGTAGCCCCAAGAGATCGACTCGTTCGTTCGCCAGAGAGCGAAAGAGGTCTGGGAAGATGGAGGCCCCGAGGCCCATAGGCCACCGACTGGTGCCGATGACAAAGTCCGTAAAACCCATTCTTTTTCAACGACGACCCTGGCATCGCAACTCCTCTGGGCCTCGTCAGTTTTACAGCGACCCACGAGGGAATCACGAAGGGCGTTTTGCAAACAATGTGCACGGGGGGGTGGGCATGTCCATTGGAGAATTCGTCGACGCACTAGAATTTGCGTTTCGCGAAGGGGGTTCGCACGTGCGCGGGGCGGCGGAGATAGGGGGAACTGAGGCAAAGGGGCTGGCAACATTTCCCAACGGGGGCTCCCTCTTACCGCTCTGCGGTTAAAGGCGCAGCGGTTGAGGGGTCGATCGTCGAAACACGGGCGCAGGAGCGCAGCGGGCGAACTTTGCGCGGCATCCATGACATTACGCGGCGCAACATCGGCCATTTGTTTCTGCGGATGAATTGTGGCACCAATTGGCAGACGGCGGCGCAGTCCGTATTATGCCAGAGGTGCAATGCGTTTTTGTTTTCTCCTCGGGTGGGGAAAGCATGGGAGTTCGCTCGGCAAGGTCGGGAGAGCGCAGTGCCAGTGGCGCCGCGCCCATTGTCTTCATCGGGGAGCTACCGCTTGGTAGCGCAGGCTCTCTGCGAACGGGCCGCGCGCTCGCCCGCGGCGGAGGGGGGGGGGCTGGGCGAGGGGGGCAGCGCGCGCGCGCCTCTGCGCAACACTCACGCAGGGGGCTGTCGAAGGGCTGTCGAGTCCTTGGCGCGCTACACTCACGCGGGGGAAGTGCGCGCGCGCGCTCTACACTGCACCTTCGCGGGCGCATTGACGTTGACCCCCTCGCGCGGGCGTCTTGTCCTGTCCCATCTCTTTCCTCCACCCTGTGGGCGGGTTCGAAGGCAGTCGCGATTCCGGCGGGAGAGCGCCCGATTCTTCCCCCATCATTATTCGCCCCCCCTTCGGGCGTTGCCAAAGGTGCCCCAGGGCCGAGGCGCCCCGAGGGGCGCCGGGTATGACCTCGCGCCTTACGTTCAGATCAGCTCATCTGCGTTGAAGCGGCGTGCACGGGTTCGTCCCGGACGCGCGCGACGCTAGACATTTTGCATTTTGCGCCGGGTGCTCGCCTTTTGCTTTTTGGGGGCGCAGGTGTTTCACTTCGAGGCGCCGCCCGCCAAACGCAGTTGCACCGCTAACATGTGAAGTGGCTGGTGCCGTCGGCAAAATCACCGTGCCGGCGCAGCTGTCCGAACGGCGAAGTTTCGAGTTGCGTTTGCTCAGGCGTCCGGGACGTGTGACATCTGTCATGCTGTCGGAGTGGTGTTGGGCCTTTTTAGTGTTTTTTGTCGGACAACTATGGGTTGTTTTGGGGCCGTTGGGGGCATCTTCGGCGCCGCGTTCAACGGTGGCCGCGCTCGGCCAGGGAAGCGTGCATTCGCGCCCCCCCCCCCTGGCCGGGTGCTTCGACGTCGGTTCCGGGGTGGCAAAGTAGGGGCGCCTTCGAGGCGGCGAGCGTTTACCTTTGCCGAAATGCCCAGATCAAGGCGTGATCTGTGTTAACCGCTCGTTTTCTTCAACTGTGTAATTGCGCGTGTGGGTGCAGCGTTTGCAAAGGCCGCGGTGTGATCTGTGTACGCAGATCGCGATTCCATCTTTGTATTTGGAGTGGGCTCTTCGCGTGCGGTGGTGACTGAGCGGGAACTTTCGCGCTTCCCTCGGTTTGTCCACGCGCAGGCGTTGCGCGCGTGCAACATGCACAGCTCGTGTGTCTAATTGTGCACGTGCTGCGCGCTACTGGCTGAAGCGTCTCCTGGGTGGGTGTTGTTGCGGAGCTCCTTTTTGGTCACAGAGGGGGCTGTGGTTTGAGAGGACAGAAGGCGCGGATGCTCGGCGATGGTGCGCTATGGGAGGGAAGTGTGCGACAGAAGGGGCGGCGATGGGGCCGGGGAGTGAAAGGGGGCGAGGGGGGGGGGAAATGGGCCCAGGAGGAATTGCAGCATCGGTGCCAGCATCGCGAGGACGATGGAAGCGGGGGGGGGGCAGAAGAAGGTGGGACGAACTGCGCACTGCAGTGGGGGGGGGTGGGGGGTCGCAGATGGGAGGGGGCGCGTTGGGCGGAGGAGGGCGAAGGGGAAACCGCGCAATGGCAAAAGGGGACAAGATAATGGCGACGAGGAGCGGGGGCATGATGGGGAGGGGGGGAATCGGACGGGCATTGGGAGAATCAGGCGACGGGTACGTTGCACGGTGAGGCGACGGGGATGGTGCACGAGGGTGGCGCGGGCGCCAGCTAGCGCTCCTGTGGGCGGCATTTTGCGCGCCCGTGCAACACCGTAGAACAGAAATGACGGCTGCAGATCAAGCCGATCAGGGTCGTCGTGCGCGGCGTGCGTCCAGGCCAAACGCTCGAGTCCACGACGCTCCTTTTGCGTCGTGTTGATGCCGCCCGTCTTCGCCAAACCGCGCATGCACAGGTAGGGTGGATTTGGGTTCCAATGTTTTCCCTTCGACCCCCTCTGTCGTAAAAAGACAAAACGCTGGAATCCGTTGCCCAAGAGTAATTGGCGATGTTGGAATCGACCCTCCATCCCGGATCCAGTCTTCGGACACCCCTACAAAAAAATGTTTGTTTCCAGTGAGGGAACTGTCACGTTGAAATACAACCCGTTTGAATTCCTTTTTGATTCATCTTGAAAATATTGTTCCCGGGATTCTAAGGACATGGGTCAACCTGATTGTTGCGCCCTGGCGACCTTGAGCCGCCCCATCACGCCGTTCTGGGGATTTCAACACCGCGAACCAACGTAATTGTTGCACCGACATAACCCCGAACCCGTTCATAAAACAATGCTTCGTCAGTTGATCACAGGAATCCGTGACATTCTTGGAGCTGTGTCAATGAATGTGCGCGGCGCTGAGACAAACACCACATTCATATCAGAACACGAACCGCCTTCAATCCGTGCAGCTATTGAACATTAAGAGAATGAGCGCGGCGCTGAGGCGAAAACCACATTGAGAAAACCACCCGCGCCCAAACCGTGAAAATGTTGAGAATGTTTGCAACGAGTGCGCGCGTTGCTACGCGATTGCCAAAAAAAGTGGCCTTCAATCCGTGAGGGTCTTGCATACGTTTGAAGCGAGCGTGCGCCGCGCTAGGGCGACAATTCACCATATGTGAAACCGTTATAACGGTTAAAATTCCGGGTTTATGAATGGTGCGGAAATGTTAAGCGAAACGCCTGGTTTGCCCCAAAAGGGGTGCGACAGGGGGAGCCACTGTTAAGTGAGAAGAGCTGGCGAAAACCATGGGCATCTTGCGAGCCTCTGGAGGCACACTCGGCCTCCTGGGAATGTTTGGGAGCTTGTTGGAGGCATCTTGGGGGCCTCCTTTGGCCTGTTGGGGGCCTGTGCGGGTTTTGCCGGGCGCATCGTTGACAGTTTTGAAGCATGCCTGGCCCGTCTGAGGCCGTCGGCAGCCGTCTTGGGTGCCTCTCTGGGCCGTCTTGGCGTTTTTTTTTGGCGTGCCGAAGCATGTGCGATTGAGGCAGGACCTACCTGTCCCACAGTTCGGACCCGGAGGAGCCCAACAGATGTTGATGACGACGATGATGATGATGATGATGATGATGATGATGATGATGATGATGATGATGATGATGATGATGACGATGATGATGATGAAGAGGAGGACGACGATGATGGAGGTGGTGGTGATGTGCTGGTAATTACGATGACGATGGCGATGACGATTATGACGAAAGTGGCGATGATTCAGATGATTCAGATGATGATGCTGATGATGATGGTGATGATGATCGTGGTGGCGAGGTTGCTGCTGATGGTGATTCTGACGATGATGCTGCGGATGATGATGCTGATGTTGATGATGATGTTGATGTGGATGATGATGATGTTGATGATGATAATGATGGTGATGTAGCTGTTGCTGCTGGTCGCGATGACGATGGCGATGCTGACGAGGGTGGCGATGATTCAGATGATGATGATGATGATAATGATGATGATGATGATGATGATGATGATGATGCTTCTGATGTTGCTGATTATGATGCTGATGCTACAATGGCCACGGTGATGATGCCGACAACGGCAATTACGATAACAATGGTGATGCTGTTGTTGATGATGATGGTGATGATGATGACGATGCTGATGATGACGATGCTCCTGATGATGATGGTGATGATGACGATGGCGAGGATGGTGGTGATGGCGATAGTGGTGAGGACGATGATGATGATAGTGATGATGATGATGATGATGATGTTGATGATGATGACGATGACGATGACGATGACGATGGTGATGCTGACGATGATGATGATGATGATGATGATGATGATGATGATGATGATGATGATGATGATGATGGTGCGTCTCCGTATTTGCAGGTGTTCTTCGAGTACGGGTTGCCGACGGCCATCAAAATTTCCACGGTTCTGAAAACAATGCCATTCTCTCTATTCTCAATTTTGGCGTCAGGAGGCCCGCCTGGGGCCTCGGTGCGGATGCTCGGACGGGGATCGGACGAGGATAAATCCATTCCAGCGCGTCCTGGATCGCTCTCAGAGCGTGCCGGAGCGCTCTGAGAGGGCGAGAGTGCCGCCGAGCCCGAGACATCTTCCAGAGCCGCGTGATCTCAGATATTTTCGATTTACCACCACCCGATTTTCTCCTCGTCTTGGCTTCGTCTTACCCAGTGCGATCATGAGGGCGGCTCGAGGTGGAGATTTGGTTACTCGGAGGGGGTGGAAACTCATCGGATGCCCTTGGCAGGTTCGTCGACCCCCAGAAAAATACCGAAAGTATGGGAAGTGGAAGGGGAACACAACACCAGAAACAATTGGAAAATAATTATGGGGGATCTTGGGATTTGTGTCTATGTATTTGAGTGTCCCAGGGCCCCTTCCAGACACCCTCAGGAGTGGGCTCCCCAGGAAGCACCCTCAGATTTGGCGCCCCCTCTGGTGGTGGGCCGCGCCGTGTTGGGCAGGTCATCGCGGCCATGTCGGGGCGCTTCGGGATCCAGCCTGATTTTGGCCACCAGCTCACGGCGCGAGGGGTTCTGGGATTGCGGCGCCTCCCCCCCGCCCCCCCGCAGTCGGGCGTTGCGTGATGGGGGGCGACCCATAAGTTGGGCGAAGCAAGGTGCGCCTTCTGTGCACCAGAGGGTCCCTGAAGGGGCCCCTTGGGGCCCAAAACGGGGACGAACGTCCCCCCAATGAAGCAGCCCCCCCCCATTCAAGCAACGCCGCCGCAGTATGCGACGCCCAATAAGCAGCCCTCAACCCTTTCAGCAACGCTCATTCAGCAGCGCCCATTAAGCGGCCCCCCCCAGTAAGCAGCGCCACCCCATTAAGCAGCGCCCTCCCCATGAAGCAGCGCCCATTAAGCAGCGCCCCCTCAACGAAGCGACGCCCCCCATTAAGCAGCGCCCCCCATCAAGCAACGCCCATGAACCGCCCCGCGTGACCCGGTCAAGCGGCAGTGTCCCCCCCCATAAAGCAACGCCCGCCGCAGGACCCAGCCTGGAAGCAGTGCCTGCAGCGCTTTCTCGTTCCCAGGCCGGAGGACCGCTGCCGAGCGGGGCAGCGCCGGCGGGCACGGGCTCGAGCAGATCTGGCCAGGGGCGGCTTCAGGGGGGGGGGGGGCGTCGGGGGGGTTCTCAGCCTCGACGTTCGGGGTTCGCGGTTTGGTTTTCGGGCGTCTTCGTCGGTTCTCGACGGTTTTCCAGCCTTGGGGCGCTCTCCAGCAGATGCTCCTCGCCGAAGGCGTTCTGGGGCTGTCCGGATCGTCCCGAACGGATTGATCGCCGATAGGGTCCTGATAGCCAATTTCGCCCAAGAGCGTACGGATTTGCTATGGGAACCCTATCGCGAATGTATCGGCGATGCATCGCCAATTCTGGGTCGATGTTCCACGTCTGCGTTGGTTCCCCCTGAAGTTGCCCTCCGGCTGGGGGGTGTCAGCGCTGACAGGTTTCGGGGGGGTTACACAGACTCGCTCATATTCAGACTCACTCATACTCGAATTCACTCGCACTCAGACTTACTCAGACTCACTCGCACGCTGACTCATACATATTCAGACTCACTCTGACTCATACTCAGACTAACTTGGGCCACTGCTCACTGCGATCTAGAGGCGTGGCATTTCGGACACTCCAAGATTCGCGCCTAGAATGTGAGATGCCTCAGGCGATCTCCCTGTTCGGTTGCCCATCTTCTTCTGCTTTCAGAGCAGTTTTGTGACTCAGGCGAGGCGTTGGTTTCGGCAATCCCAAGGGGGAGCCGCCAGAGTGGGGACACTCCGGGATCGGCGCCCACATTGTGAAGATGTCTCAGGCGGTTTGCTGGCTTGGGTGCCCCACATGACTTGATTGCGAAGCAGGTTGCAAGAATTTCTCGGACGAGGCGTTGGTTTTAGCACTCCCAAGGGGGGGCCAGCAGGGCGTGGACACTCCAGGATTGGCGCCCTGATTGTGGGGATGTCTCCGGCCGTTTTGCCTGCCTGGATGCCCAATCTACTCCGCTTTCGAAGCAGTTTGTGATGACGTCTCCGACGAGGCGTTGGTTTCAGCTCCTCCAGCGGGGAGCCGCCAGCATTGGGGCCTTCAGGATCCGCGCCCAGACTCAGGCGGTTCACCTGTTCGGAGGCCAACATCACTTGCTTTCGGGGCAGGTTGTGTGGATGTCCCAGGCGAAGCGACGGTTTCAGCACTCCCAGGGGTGGGGGCACTCCAGGATTAACGCCCAGACTGTGGGGATGTCTCCGGCGGTTCCCCTGTTTCTCTCCCCCCCCCAGCTTCTCTTTGGAGCTGTGTGCGTCTCACTCACTTGCTTACTCACTTCCTCCTCCTCCTCTCCCTCCCTCCGACGCGCGCATTTGTATTCACGAACACCTTTTCCTCCCTCAGGCCCACTCAGCACATTCAGACCCACCCATACTCAGACTACCTGCTGCTCATACACATCCAGACTCAGACTCATTCATATTCATTCTAAAATTCAAACTCACTCACACCCAGACAAATTTACACTCAGGCACAAATTCAGACTCACCCTCCATCAGACTCATTCATACTTAGACTTGACCGTATTCAGGCTCATTCGGACTCATATGGATCATGTTCTTACCCAGATTCACTCACACTCAGGTTCACTCATATTCAGACCCACTCGCACTCAGAGTCACTCACACTCAGACTCACTCATATCAAGTCCCACGTCTACTCGGACTCATTATAGTCAGACTCACTCACACTCAGGTTCAATCATCGCCATGTTCACTCACAATCACTCGACTCACTCACGCAACGGCTCACACATCTGGTTACCCCGATGCACCATGCGTGGCATTTGGGCACTCCAAATTCCAGCAGGCGCCACGATTATCACAACAGAGAGCGGGCGTAGTAACACCATGCACTCTTGCCCGAGTTGCCGCAGTGAGAACGGCAAGAGGGATCCCCCTCGCTCTTCCACTTGAGTTTCCGCTGTTTTTCGTGCCAGATATCACAAGGAGGACGTCTATGAAATCGTGGCGGTCGTCGTCGTCGTCGAAGTTGCGCACGTCATCCACGCGAACTCGTTCTCACACCCGAGTGCTCATTGACAGCGTTCCGCAGCAAGACGTGACAGGAGTATGAAATACACAGATGGAGGTTCCCTTGCCGGACAGAGGTCATCGCCAATTGACCCGGGTCTGGGAGCCATGTGCGGCTGATCCCAGATGTCTTTCGTCGCGCCAAACAATAGAATTTAAAACGGAATGTGCTTGCCCATGGTCGGCCTCTGGGGGGATTTCACTCTGCTTCAGGTGCGCCACCAAATCTATGAAATGGATTCTTGCTCCTGGGTCCACGTTGCGAAACAAATACGACGTCCGAGGTCTGTGATCCGCCTTCCCCCCTTTCTGCTGGCCCGGGTTTTGGGGCTTCTTCGTGGCCAGCGTTGATTCGGGACAGGCCCGGCTGAGCGCTGACTTGGGATGGCGCGGGGCCCCGACACGGCTCGGGCGCGCCCAGTGGAAGGATGACATTTGGCATCCGACGCTTCGGCTTTGTCGATGCGTGTCACCCAAAACCTGTCGACTCTGTACCCAGGGCGGGTTGTTCCATCCTGATTGGTTCTTGTTGACGGTCCCGGGGACTACAGCCGTCTTCCATCAGACAAGAGGCAGCACATTGGGCGCCTCGACTTTTGGCCGATGCGCTGGATGTTTGGGATCTAACATCCAGGTGTTTGGACGCCGTCGGCTTTGTTTGGGCCCCCAGAGGTCTCTTTCTGGCCCTGCTGGTTGGCCTCCGCAGACCTCATGGGGGACCTCTGGGATGGGGCCTCTGTCTGCAGAGACCTCCAGGGACCTCCCGCAGGCGTCTGCAAGTTGAAGACCCCGTTGCCTGGGGAGTTGGAGGAAGAAAATGAGGAGGAGGAAGAAGAGCTCGGCAACGGCTGGAGAAGGTGCCACCACATTCGCATGCATGAAACCATACACGAACACATTAGTGCCAATGTCCTCGCGGGGCGGCACAGCCTGCCGACGGCGCTCGCGCGCCCGAGCCCCCACAGGGACTCGTCGTCCTCGCGGGAGGCGAGCCCAAAGAGGACCAGGCCTCGCGCTGGGTCGAGCCCCGTCCCACCCCTCCCAGGGAGGAGGAGGAGGAGGAGGAGGAGGAGGAGGAGGAGGAGGAGGAGGAGGAGGAGGAGGAAAAAGAGGGCCCGAAGAGGGCCAGGCCCCGCGCTGGGTCGAGCCCCGTCCCACCCCTCCCACCCCCACCAGACGGAGCGGACAGCGAGATGCAAGTCAGTATCGTTTCACCGATTCCCATCCCCATCCCAATCCGCGTCTCGAGCCCCACCGTCTCGCCACCTCGGCTGAGGATGTGCCCCCAGAAAAACATAAGAACTCGGAGGGCCGCGCGGATTTCTTGGATCCGAGCTTGACCCCCCTGGCGGCGCCTCCAGCGCCGCCCCAGGCGCGCTCCGCGCGCCAGGGAGGGAGGTCCGGTGCAGATCCAAGGAATCCGCGCGGAGCGCCGAAATTCTATTTTTGTGTCATTGTCCGCTCCCCGAAGGGGGGTTAGGAGTGTGAGCCGCGCGATCCCCAGCAGCGTCGCCAGACTTCTCCCGCGGGAGGGGGCCCGACCCCGTCGGAACCGGCGGGCCCCCATCTGGCCGACGTTCGGGGCTCAAGAGACGGGGGTCAATGCAAACGGGGGTCAGCCAGGGCACAGGATGCTGCAGGATCCTGCGAAGACCCCCTCTGGCTGCCCCGGGTTTGCAAGCCGCTCGTGGCCGCGAGGCGGCCGCGCATATTGGCTGACCCGGGTTTGCGAAGGCCTGCGTTGCAGTTTTTCTTCCTGCATTGCAGTTTTTGGCTTCCTGCTGACCCGGGTCTGGATTGACCTGGGTCAGAAGATCCCCGAGACGTGCAGGAGACAGCAACAACGCCATGCGGGTCCAACCCGCCAGCCGATCCGCCCAGGTGGGTGAGCGCCTGTCCGCCCTGCGCCTTCCAAAGCCGCAGCTCCAGCGCGAGCGTAGCAGGCGCTGAGCTCTGCCCCTGCAGGGCAGCCTTCGCTGGGAGTGGGGAGCCTCGAGGGATCCCCAGAAGCCGTCGGAGACGAGGCCGCCGAAGTCCCCCTCGCCGCCGAGGGGCTTCCAGAAGCCGAGGTGGCCGTCGCCAGAGCGCCGGGCCCACCAGACCATGGGCGCCGCCTGGCTGTCTCGGCCCCTCTCCGTCTCGCAGAAGCCCAGCTTCTGCGATGCTGCCTCCGGCGCCTCTCCCTGCCCGAACCCTTAGGTCGGGCATGTCCCTCTACAAGCGATTTTGGGCAAACGAAGTTCATAAATGATCAAACAGAAGCAAACGTAGCCCAGAATCAAGCCTTTTTTAAATCCTCCTGTAGAGGGACAGGCCTGACTTAAAACCAACCCCTCCCGTCCATTCCCCTCACCCCTTTCATGGGCTCGTTTCGATCCTCGATGTCGATTCCGGCGGGCCCGAGGCGATCCGATCCAGATATGCAGAGGATCTGCTGCGGCCCGTGCATGCATGGCGTTGTGGCGCACTCGGGCGCGGCCGATGCGCTTCCGACTCCGCGCCAACGTGCAGCCCGATCCGACGCACGTTCCGATTTCCCGGTTCGGCGCCGACTGCTCCTTCTTGTCTCCTTCGGCTCCCTACTGCCCCCCTTCCCCCGACTCCAGCCTGCGCCCTCTTGCCCCGCCCCCGGCCCCCCGTCCCCTTCCCTCTCCCCCTCCCCCACCTTCCTTCCAGCCCGCGCAGGAGGGCGAGCCCGGGGCCGCGGTCGTGGGCTCCCCGGCCGAAGTGTGAGCGACGGGCGCCGCGGTGTGGATTGCGAGGCAGAGCCCCCCGCCAACGGCGCCTCCACACTTCCCCCCCTCCCCCCATCCTCCCCGCTCTCGGCCTCTCCTGCGCTTCCTGCCTTTGCTCTCCCCTCCCTCTCGCCCCCTTCCCCTCCCCTGCCCTCCTCATCTCTCCCTCCGGTCTCTCTTCCCGCCCCTCGTCTCTCCTAACCCTCTCGTCTCTTCTCCTCTGGAGCAGAGCACGCCCGTACAGACCGAGGAGGAGGAGGATGAGGACCTCGCCCTCCTCCCCTGGCTTTTCTTCGTTCCCCTCGGCGCCATGACTCGATCAGCCACGGCACCCGCAGCCAGGCCTCCCAGCCCGAGTCGAACCTCCCGCGCGTCTTCCGCGTCGGTCGCCGCCGCGGGCAGCGAGGGCTCAAGGAGCTGCCGGATCTGTCCAGGAGCAGGCGGCTGGGCTTGTTCGTTGTCTCGGGATCGGGGGCCTCGAGACGGGGGTCGAGGCAAACGGGGGTCGGTCAGAGCGCCGGATCTTGCAGGATCCTTGAGCGCCAGGGGTGCACTGACCCGGGCCTGGGTGCAGGATCCTGCGGAATCCTGCGGGATCGTGCAGGGTCCTGCAAGGCCTGACGGACCCCTGTTTGGACTGATCCGGGTCGATCCCCGACAGGAGGGTCAGGGGGGGAGGCAAGAGGGGAAGGCAGGCAGGACGGAGGAGGCGGAGGAGGAAGGGAAGGGCCACTTGTAAGCCTAAGATGCATCACATATGTTGCAAACACAACAACTCCCTCCAGTGTCCTTCTTCATGGGCCCCTTCAAGAATATGTTTTCGTTGCGAGAAGCGCCCTGCTGGAAGACAACCGTCTGAGAATCCTCAAACGTACCAAAACGCAGTTCTTGGGACTTCAGCGCCGCGGATCAACGTGACTGTAACGTCTTGACAATCTTAGATGGTGCCAGAACATATTTCCTGTGAGTTCAGCACCGTGCGATGATAACCGCGCGTCGCGGTCTGGGCCAGAGCCGCTGCCCTTGTCCACGGGAGCGGCAGCTGGAGGGCGCAGGGGCGCGAATATGACCGCGCGTCGGACATCGCGGGGCGCGGTGCGCGAAGTGAGGTGACCTGCGAGTGACCCGCGACGTGAGGCGACAGGGGAGAGGCACAGGGACCACCGCCTCCGAGAACCCATCGGGGGGGAAAGGCCCCTGGGCGGTGGCACGCCCGAGCGTCGCCGGGACCATCACCTCAGAAATACCCACTGGGTGGCAGGAGGCGGCCCCCAGGGGGTGGCACTCCCGAGCGCCGTCCTGCCCCGGGACGACGCTCGGGTGCGCCGCCGCGCCCTTCCCCCCCTCATGGGCCGCCTTGTGTGCGTGAAGGCCGCTCATCTCCCCTTTCCCTCCATCTATACTGACATCCTGTTGGGTCAAGCGTTGGACATTTTGAACGCCTCTGTTCCGACGGGCGCATGCGCAAAATATTATCACTGTTTCTCTGTATCGTCTTCTCCTTACGGACTGTACAGTACGTTCGACTGTTTGGTCGTTAACCTCCGTTCGCAGGTTACCAGCGTTTTACAGTTTGCCCTTCGTTGCGAGCCCCCTCGCCGAATACGACCGTTACGCATGACGGCGGGACCTACGGGGACAAGCGCCTCTATGTGTGGTGTCTCGTCGACAGTGCGTGGGTTTCGCGACGACACGGGGAAAGGCAGTAGGACAGGGAATGATACCACAACCCCCCACACCAGGAAAAGGCAGCGCCGACTCCCGCCTTGAAGCCGCGCTCGGGCGTGCACAGCAAACCGACATGGATACTGCCCACTCTTCCGTGCCAGCGCAATCGTACATCCCAGAGCTTGGACCCAGTTTCAAGTCGATAGGTCAGACACCCGGAGCCAACATGAGTTCAAATCCCTCGTGGGTAAAAACACCGACGCGTTCCTCTTCCAATCTGTTCGCTGGTGGGAACACCCGCGGTGGCGCGAACGAAACGTCTCCTCCGAGCGCTTCCGCGCGACACCGCCGTTGAGACACCGCATTGATTCCCGTGTCTGAACACGTGCGAGCCATCGAGGGTCGTGCTGTAACTACCTCGCAGCGAAGAACACCCGATCGGTATCATCTCAATTTCCAACATAGGATTGTCACTTGCACGACCCAACAGTTATTGAGCCATGTTGCAACGGTCGCCGATCACGCGACGCAAGCACCAATTTTGAGGCAACACGTACAGGATGTTCGTGCCCTGGTCTACGCCCGGATCGCTCAGGGCAAATGGATCTTCAACAATGTCCAATGTCAACGTGGCCCTATAGAGTCACACCGAGGTGCCGACACCGCTGCCATCCAGAAGCTCCGCGACTACCTCCTCGCCATGGAGGCGCACCTCGTAAGCGTCAGGGATGGAGGCGCTCCCTCTGTCAGGGCCCGACGCGACGATATCCTATCATTACGGCAGGTCTTTGTCATTGAGGCACATGTGACTACGGACCAACAGCTCCGTGATTACCTCAATGCGCTTCGAGGTCACGTTGCTCTGACCAGTTGCATCCTGCATTCTGGATTTACCACAGCCATGTCCGAGTTGCACCGCAGGTTGTGCACTGCCGGGATGGCTATTGATCAGCGTATTGCAGCAGAGTCTCCACGGTAGAGCAGCAGTTACCTGACCTACAGGTTGCACGGGCTGAGTTGCGTGTTGCACGGGTCCAGATTGCGCAGTTGGGCGCCCCGAGTTCAGCCTGCGATTTCGCCCCCCTCGTAGCCGAGATGGCCGAGGTCAGAAAGGCGGCGGGCCACGTGCAGTTGCGACCCACGCGGGTCTTCCACCAAAGGGACGCCGAAAAGGCTTTGGCCGAGGCGCTATTCACCCGTTGGGAACTGGAGCGCGAAGCACACAACCGACGAGTCCAGGACTTCGAGCATCGGCTAGACCGGCATTCCCAGCGAACTTATGTCACCAACGACGAGGCACGTGGTCTCCGATAGAGCGTCGAGAATTTGCAGCGCGATTGCATGACCACTGAAGCCGCGCAGACGGCTCTCGTTAGCGACGCCAAGATCCATTTTCCCTCGCAACCTTCAGTGCTCACCACCGACAGTGCCCCAACCCTCGCCGATGGAATCATCATCGCATGACTGCTGCCACGCGCGCCACCAGGAGCTGCCTCTGCAGCAGTCTCAACACAGACACGTCACGTGCTTCATGTGGGTGCACCATCGCCGACGCCACCAATACTGCCACCCAATATTCCACATGATTCTCTGAGTGGCATTTCCCATGATGGAATCAGACACCGTTTGCATTTCTCCACTGCCACTCTCTACTGAGTTACAAGAGTGGCAGCCGCTGGCCAGGGGGGACTTCGGCAGTGCGCCGGGGCACCCTGCTAAGGCATGCGCCTTTCTCTGCGTTTTTGAACGCCCTGACGCTACATTCCAGGGCCTTCAAGACAGTGGTGACTTCGAGGGCATTGACTGGAAAGTCGCCGCTGGTCTTCGGTTCCTTTTGCTATTGCGTTCCGCCACCGCATGAAGAACCTCGAAGCCCAGGAACATCGACCCAGCCGTGTGCTGAAAAGGCAGACAGTTCTACGGGTGCATATTACAATCCTACAAGTTCACGGAAGTTGACGACGCCATGCGCGACCTGGGACGTCTCCACCTTCCGCGCACAACGGCGAAGTGTGGACTGGCACAACTTGCCCCTGGAATGCAGTGATCCACCGGGCGCGAAGATACTCAGCGATTGTTCTGGGCTCAGATCCTTAGACACTGTTGGATGAAGCAATACGTGCGCGACTGCGACCAGATGGAGATGGGCGACTCCAATCGCGCGCGCGATTGGTTACCAACACGCGTTTTGGGCAACGTCGAGATGCGCTGACTCGAACGCAGCGGGCGCAGCCAGAAGAAAGAGACGGCTCGTCGCGACGAGCTGGCCGCGTGCGCAGCGCTTTCTGAAGGCCATTGCAAAAACAGCGCACAGCGCAAACGGCCACGCACTGGCTCTGGCAACCGCCCCGCGCCGCGACCCCCTAGGCGCGCGTCGCCGGCTGGCGCGGATGCCCGCGAGACCCTCCGCGGGGCGAGGCGCGCAACGGCCGCCCCAAGACGGCGGCGCCGTGAACTTTTGCTTCTCGATCGCAAAACGCGGCACCTGCCCGCGACGAGACCCGTGCAGATGGCTCCACCCTGCAAAGTGCAGCTTCTTTGCTGACCCAGGCAAACGCTGCGAGCTGGCCAACGGCTGCCGCTGCGCCCGCATTGCGTCTGGCGCCGAGACCCCCGAGAGGAGCAGTCGCCTCGCCTACGGCCAGGGCAGCCGCAACAGGACGTCCTCCCCCGGGCGCGCGGGGGGCAGTCGACCCCCGCAATGGCCCCCGCAACGACCCCGCTCTCCTTCGCGGGGGGGGGGGGCCGCGGACGCAGTCGAGGGCGTTCACCCGGCAGCTGCCGCGGCAGCGGCACCAGCGGAAGGTCACCTTCGCTGCGCTACAGGAACTGTTCGCCTGCTGCCGCAGCACCGCCACGCGGCCAACGACGAGACCGAACATAAGCGATGCGCGAAAAGACCTCGGTGGCCGCATCTGCGCCGCCACCGCAGAAGCACGACGCGACCTTGGCGACGTTGACGCATTTACCAACCTTGTGCCCGAACGGCAACTGGCCAAATGGCGCGCCGACGCCAACGAGGGTGGCCCCGTCGCGGCGCCCGACCCGCTGCCGGACTTGCGGCTGCAGGACAGCGCCGAGGCGTTCCAAGCCTGTCAGCCCGAGGCGAAGAAGTTGCGCGATGACCTCGCCCCCCCAACCATATTGACCAGTGCGCCAGCCCAGCCATCCGACGACGGCCCAGCGTCGGCGGCAACCCCCGCGACCGAGTCTACCACGCCGACGCAGTCAAAAGCAGCGTTGTCACGGACGTGGATTTGGGACTGCGGTTCTGCTCGCCGCATCCAGGGCAAGGCCGACCTCGCACAGCAAGAAACCACCGACGTGCAC